TATTAGCGGCCACAAGAAATAAATCCGCGAAACAACTTCCGTGATACCAAACTTAAAAAATAAAACAAATGCAATAGTTTGGTTACGATCAAACACTACCTTTTTAAGGAAAATTCTCAAACATTTTTAATAATTTATTTTAAACATTCAAGCAACTTGGTAACCCGTATCTTGAAAAGTCAACAGATGTACTCATCTTAGAATCAGGAAGAATAGTTAGCCAATCTGTGATTGTACCACTGTACAAAAGATTGAAAAAATCTTGGCTTAAAACAGTATCAAACAGAAACCCAATGGACACAAACGTAAAAAAGACGTCTTTTGAACTTCTTATACACGTTTTGCACGTCTTTTGAACGTTTTGGACGTCTTTTGAACGTTCAAAAGATGTCATTTTTTGGTCCGGTGCCCACTGGGAAAGAATAGATGATTTATCAAGATCTATTCTAAAACCAATCAAACAAAAATAAGTTGCCGCTTTTCAATTGTAGGGTAAGGCGGGGCGAGTTCGTCATGTTTTACTTTAACAAAATGAATTCGCATATAAATAAGTGAGTTTTTCTAGTTTAAAAACTTTTTTTTATTAATTAGGGTCTCTATTTTGTTAATGTATTGAATCAAAATGAATTCTAAAGTTACTTTAGCGTATAATTTGATTTTTTCATCATCAAGTCATGAGGGGCGAATTCGTCAATTACGGGGCGAATTCTTCAGTACAGCTAAACTAATTTAAAAATTCGTGACTCGGGCGATAGACGAAATTCCTTTCTAGTGGTAAAGGCAACTTACCTAGGAGAAAAAAACTTTGACATAAAACATTTTTGAGGTCACAGTAGGATGATTTCCCTAATCTAGAAGTAAACCTAGAAGTTGCGAGATCGATTCCCACCGCGTCCCTGGTAGTACTGCGCTCAACTTGTTTTTCTCTCAACTCTATAACTCCGAAACACGAACCTTGATCGTCAAGGTTCGTGTTTCGGAGTTATAGAGTTGAGAGAGGGTTGTAAACACAACTAAAGTAGCCTCCTCAACTGCAGTGGCCTAGGGTAAAAGGACATCAAAAAGGACATCAAAAAGGACATCTAAAAGGATATCAATTGTTAAACTTTTTCCAAGAAAATATCAAATAATGATTTTGGCATAAATGAAAACCGTATAACCGCGCTAGCGCAAAAAATAGCACGTTAAAGCAACAAAAAATCATATCACTACTATGACTATTTAAATAACAAAAATCATATCACTACTATGACTATTTAAAAATTTACAAGACGTTTATATGTTCATTGCACACAATTTGCACATGTATCAACTCCAAAACATCCTTCGCATGCCCACTGATTGCAATTTAAACATTTAAGCCAATCTTCACTTGCTTCTGTCCAAACAGCTGCACAAACACAACAAAAGTCTTTATCAGTGTTATTTTTTAGAATAAAACTTGAAGAACTTGGGTGATCAGAATCAGCTGAAAAAAAAGTCTTTTTTGATTTGGTTTTAACTGATTTATCGTGATCCTTTTTTGACTTCTGTTTAACACTGACCACATTTTTTATTGCAGCCTTTTTAGCAGGAGGCTCTTTTATTAACTTAACATTACCTGGTGATGTAATAAGAGCAATGTGGCGTTTTGAATGAGTAGGTTTCCTTTTTTTTTTCAGGAGAAGGTATAATAGTCCTTAAAATAGATAAATTTTGGTCTCCCTGGTGAATTGTTGCTTTATTAAAAACCTCTGCTTTTTTATATTCGAAATCTTTTACTGGGTTTCTTAGGGGATGCAAACCACAATGGTAAAACGCATTAACAATCAATCCTCTTTTTGTAAGTATATTTGGCCATATTTTGTTAAAAATAATGTGAAAGTTGCAACGAGGCAAAGAAATATCATCATTTTCAGGACTTCTGTAATAAATGACGTCTACACAAGCTTTTGGCATAGAAATAAGCAGCAGATCTTAACCACATTATTGTGAGAGGAAACCCTCTATCAGCCATATAAAGCAGCCTTTGAACAAGAGTTTCTTCTTGATTTTTAAAGAAAATTGTTTTACCACCTATAGAATGTGTTTGATGTTTTCCCCGTAATTTATCAATCAACGTTGTACGTGGAATATTAAATTGTTTTGCTGCAGTTGATATAGTTTCTCCATCTATAATGGTTTGCAGAGCAGCCTGAAAAATTTCTGCATTATAATTTTTTTGTCGCTTTGGTTTATAATTACGTACCATCTATACATTTTAACATGAAAAATGTTATTAAAATCTACCATAAGTAATAATACATTCTTAGTTTTTTTTATATTGGTATATATATAAATAAATATATATATATACAATATGTATATATATATATATATATATATATATATATATATATATATATATATATATATATATATATATATATATATATATATACAAAAAAAATATATATATATATATATATATTATATATATATAAATGCTTTATATTTTCCAATGAATGATACATTTGTTTATAATAAATACTACAAAAAATACTTATAACAGATATTTTATACTGTACACACATTTTATACTATATACTTACTATTTACTTTTTACAATATATAATAGTTATACTAATTAGTATAATATTATTTATATTTTTTAAAATAGAATAAGATCTTTGCTATATAATATATAATAAAAGTCTTATTTTAATGTAAAATTAGTAAATAATATTAACTATTCTAATAATATTTATTGAATTTCAATAATATTTTAACAATATTTAATACTTGTACATATTTTAAATATGTATAAAAATAGGCAGTGGATAGCCTAAAAATATATAACATATATGTTTTATATACTTATTATTTACTGTATATATATTTCAGACTATACATTATAATAAGTTTGTTTACATGTTTCACATCAAAGTCGTGTTTATAATTAAAACTTCAAAAAAGTTTTAAAAGCTAACTGTAAATTAATATATTCTGAAGAGCCTTTCTCTTATAAATGTCTAAAGCTTTGGAGCGCATTTTGATTACAATTTGTTTTTCTTTCAAACGGCGCTCGGTAGTTTAAAAATTTGCATGATGAAACAACCTAATTTATTTTTCGTATTAACTTTTCTTCATCGACGAAGTTGCCCCTCATTTGAGCATGTGCTAACAATCATTACGTGACGATTCCAAAGGCAAAAACATAGTAACTTAAATTATTATTTAAAAACTACTGACATCAATCAATCAAAAAATATATACTTTGTGGTCAAAACATTGCGTATTTTGATAATTTTTTGACGATAGGCATTTAAGCAGAAAAATATTTTTTCAACTTCAATGTTTATTTGCAATATTTAAAGAATAATCGGAGGTAAATATATAAAACATTTATTTAGTAATATTCTACAAATATCAGTTGAAAAAGTTTCGAAAAAACCTAGTTAATTGATTTCTTAGTTTTTATGCATTAATATTTTAAAGCTGAGTCGCATAAGTGACGGATTCGCTCCGTGACGAATTCACCCCGCCTTACCCTATAACAGTAAAAGTTTAAATACTATTTTAAAATTAGTCAATTGGAAATTTTATAAATCTGTACATTTCTCCATAATCAGAAGATAAAGACCCAAGCAAATTGTTTAAATTAGAAAATCATTCTTACCATCATTGTCAAATCAAGGTCAAATTTGACTTTCTAGTTTTTCTAAACTCTTTAGTTATGTTTGTTACAGAATATCAAGATGTTGATGTTCTATCGTTAATGGCGCTGGTGATGTCAATATGCTGCATCCAGAACCTCTCGTACCTAAATAGACTATGTTTCCACAATAATTTCTCCATATTTACTAAAAAAACTTTAAACTGTAAAAAATTGATCTTGTTTGAGATATTAAGAAGAAACCAGAGTTGTTACTATGAAAATATTTACATTATTAAGGATATCTCTCTGTCATGTCGACTACCCACCCAGTAAGCACAGGACGTTTTAAAAACGTTTTAATTCCGTTCAATTTACGGTCGGACGTTAAAAGAACCAATACAATCGTTTTTAAAACGTTTTTTTGCAAACGTTTTTTTTAATGTTAATTTAAACGTTTTTTTAGCGTTTTTTAAACGTTTTTTTTTTTTATTAACTTACGGTTAGCTTATGAACGTTTTTAAAACGTTTTTTTAACGTGATAAAAAAACTTTTTTTAAACGTACAGCACGGCAATAGAGTATGTTTACGCAAACAATGGCGTGACCTTCGATTAGGCGAATTGATTTATTTAAGTAAAAATTATATAAATTAGTATATATTTAAATCAACCAAGTGTTTGTATTGTTTTTTTGTAGAATTAAATTTGAAAATATATTGGAGTATTTTTAGTTTAAAGTTGTATGCCTTCGTTGAAACTTGGTTGTGTTTGTATTTCTACTTGAATCAAGTAGATATGATTAATAAAGTTTTAATGGTGTGGTTAGCTAGATTATTTTACTCTAATAAGTAACTTAATTGTTGAGTAAACTTGAATGCTTAAAAAAACTAGATTAAGTTTTAAATTCTACTTAATTATCAACTGCTTTTAACGCAAAAAAATCTATTTGGATTTGAAAAAAGGGAACAACATTCTCAGACTTTTTCTTCTTTAACTCTAAAAATTAAAAATAATATCAGTGGTTTTTATAAAGGAATTACTATAGTTAAAAAAGGCTGAAAGGAAAAAATATGATGATTTGTTTCAAGAAAGGGAGTGACTTACTTCAAAATGTCATTTTAAAATTTTTATTCTTTAATGATATTCTGGTGTTATTACCAAATGTTTAGCAGTATGAAACCTATAATATTATATACCATACTATATACCCTATTTTACTTATAAAGTTAATAATCTGTAAAGTAATTTGTAAAAATTTTTTAATTGAAAAATTGCTACATGAGAAGTTGTTAGATGAAATTCAAATATTCTCTATGTTTGTGTTGTGTAGGTCAAAAAATAATAAACAAAGATGATATTGATTGTGATGACCAAGAGATTCATTTTAAGACACATCAATCTTCATCATCTTTAAATAAAAAGGATAAACATTATGGATTTCCATTATCTCAAGCAAGTAAGTCTTTAGTTAAAAATAATAATGTAATGTTTGTTGTAAAATGCTAACATGACTGTCAATATTAAAAAATATCATTAAAATGATGAGGTTCCAATTTTAACTTTAAATAATCACCTTCATGAAATCCATTATTTCAATATTATCAAAACTATAAATCTATGGAACAATCTTTCTTGTCTAATCGGAAATCTGAGAAAAATGCTAATATATATAATATAGCATTGCCACTATTAGGTATTTTACTGTCTATTAGTTTTTCTCTGATTTAGGCTTAGACCAGTAAAGTTGTTAAATTGTTAAATTTATGTATTTTAAATTTATTTACGTAGTTTAGTTAAGACAATGTAAAATTTAATTAGTGTAAATTTGTTTAGACTTTCAATATTATGTGTTGCTTCTCTTAAATGAGATAAAAACCCAAGGATGCAAAAAACTTAATATAAAATAGTGTGAAGAAGAAGTAGTAACTGAAATGAACAGCATAATAAAATTTGATAAGTTTGACTCAGCACTTGACAATGTTTCATCTAGTAACTCTGTAGTATCTCTGCAGTTGTAAATTGCTAAATACTGATTTGACAGATTTTTCTTTTTTTTTTAATTTTCTTTACAATATATAATTTTTACTACTTAATTAGGAGT